CAAGAAGTAGTCAATACCTTAGATAAAGGTAAAGGTTCCCCTCACACATATGGGCTAGTTGTTCCCGACTCTAGGGGACGGTGCTCATCTCAGTTTCACAGCCAAAGAACCAGTGCTGTCTGAAGACTTCTCCATGGTCATGTGGCCAGCATAACTACGTAAATGCCAAAGGCACACGGAACTCTCTTACCTTTCCACCAAAGGTGGTTCCTATTTTTCTACTTGCATTTTTACATGCTTTCAAACTGCTAGGTTGGCAGAAGCTGGAACAAGTAATGGGAGCTCACTCCGTTGCATGGCACTAGAAATTCGAACTACCGAACTGCCAACCTTTCTGATCAACAAGCTCAGCGTCTTAGCCACTGAGCCACCATATCAATACCTTACAGTACAGAAAAAGAGTAATGTCAGCACCTTACAAGAGGGTGAGATGTGCTTCCTCCTTAGGTGGTCTTCTTTGGATACAGAGTTATTAACTAACTACTGCTGTTTCCAATATTCCCTTTTTAGAAATGATAGAGGTAGGGAACCAAGAATGAAGCACCCTAGAGGAAATGGATTTTATGAAGTATTTCAGTCATGTTTCAGGCTCGGTCATGGGACAGAGAGGCACTAGACTCTAGATTACCTTTGTCAGGATCTGGACTTCTCACTGGCCTTCAAGTGTAAGTTTGACCTGGACAGGGAGAAAGATCAGGGCTTTGAAGTTCTTGCTATATCTCATCCTCGTGCTATTGTCACTACCCATTTTGACTACCATAATGTGCTGTACTTCAAATGTATTTAAGGACCACTCAAAAGTTGCAAATAATCCAGCATGCAACAGCCTGTGTGCTCACTCATTCCTGGCATTGGGATTGGGAGCACATAACAGCCGTGCACTGGCTTCCAGTAACTGTCCAGGTACAATTTAAAGTGCTGCTTTTAATCTATAAAGTCCTCTATGGCTTAGCACCAGGTTACTTTCAGAATCACATTCTCTAACTAGAATTGGCCCACTAATTTGAATGGGGGTGGTGGTGTAGAAATAACTTGTGTTCCCTTTTAGATGAGAGTGACTAAAGCCAGGAAGTGAGTGCTGCTTCTCAGTGGCATTTTTGGCTCTTTGAGGCTTTCCAGTTGAAATTAAGACCAGTTCCCACCATTGCTCCTTCTGTAGTTTAAAACAGAACTGTTGTGTAGAACATTTCTTACTGATAACCATTTATTTTAGTTTTTCCAGTGGCATTTTTATGGCGTTTTGATTTTATGTGTGTGTAAAATCTGTGAATAAGAGCATGTTGGTGTAGTGATTAAGGCATCAAGCTACAAACCATGAACTCTAGTTGGGCCTAAAGCTTGATTTAGAGTTGCCTGCAACTGTGAGTGCATGCTGTCACATATCTATGGAGTGAAGGGGTTCGTGAATAGGTGCAGGATGCAGATGGCTGCAGATGGATTGATGCATAGATATCCCAAATCCCAACTGTGAATTGTGCGTGCGGATTGATTCAACTTTGTTTTGTGCTTTGCTGTTTGAGCGACCCCACTAGCTAGAACAAACATTCACAAACGTATAAATGAAACTGCTATGCAACTGTCTCCAAATGACACATGCAATGACGGAAAAATCTAATGCAGGGTTTAGGCACAAAGCCAGGTGAATCACTATAGAACACTCACTTTCTCTCAGCTCTAGAAAGAAAGCAATGATAAACTTTTGAAAACCTTGCGAAGAAAACTGAAGGGAATTGTCCAGGCAGTCTCCGAAGATCGGACACAATTGAATGGAAGAAAAAAAAATCTTTCAAGCATTTGAAGTCCTTAATTGGACTGCAACTGGATATAAATGCAATAAATAATAAACATCTGCAACAGGTAGCTAAAAATATTTATTTCAGCAAAGTCAAAGAAAGGATTCTAAGAAATAAATATGTAAGAGCAAACATAAATCTGCATCCTAAATATTTACTAAGATGCTCACATGTACAAATACTCAATAAAGACAAGTTAATCTTACCAAATATTACTATTTTTTTCAGGATAACAGAAGGAATAATTAAAAGCCAAACAATCTCACACTAGAGAATTTAAATACAATCACTTCTAACAGGTATATAGAAATTCAAATTCACAACAAATTTTCAGAATAGTTCAAAGAATTACTGGGAAATATTTTAAAAGTACAGTTTAGTTATTTAGAAAATATACAGCTTGCCCTCTTAGTAACCATTCTTACATCAAAGGATAAAAATAAATTATAAATATAATTGAAAACATTAGTAAAATTATTGGAGACAAAAAGATAAATATAACAGTCAGTAAAACTAAATGTTAACCACAAAAAGTGTATCTAAATAAACAAGTATTTGATGTTCATTTAAAAGAGCCACAGACCCGGATCTGGTAAGCCTCAATTGGCAATTGCCTCCAAGAACCATGAATTCATGACAACCACACAACTGTTGATGTGTGCCAGATCATAAAAACTAGTATGCTGTTTACACAAAGTGAGATTCCTGTAAGTATCTGCAGTGCAACTTACAAAGGTCCTTAAATGCTCAATACTAATCATACACTATAATCACCCCTACTGAAGACTGTGATTTTTCTTATAAAAAGCCAGAAAATTACTCCCAATTTTGCCCCCAAACAAAATGTTATATAGTGCAGTTTCCATATGATTAGTGGTACATTGCTTCTTATAGATCTAAATCCAAAAATCATACTAATGCTAATTAAAGCCATTGTGGACATCAGTTTATTATCATAGTCTAAGACAAAAAGATTAATGTATAATAATGAGCTAAAATAAGTTATGTGTAAATGTATAGATATGCCCTAATCCTGGTATTGCCAATATGAAATCAGTGTGCTTAAGTGCTGTACCCACCAGGCTCTCTGCCCCATCAGATCTTTTTTATATATACTTAGGGGGAAAATCTTCATTTTTTAAAAAGAATTGTCATGTTCTGGCTTCATATTTATTTTTAAACATGCCTCTGGTTCTAAATAGCAAAAGAAGCATTCTTAGAAAATGATGGGTCAGTGAAACTACTACTAAAAAAAAAACCTTTCAGGTGCTCTGTTTCCAACTATTTTAGCTTAGCCTATTACACAAACTAACTCATGTGGTCAATTTATCTTTCAGTATGTCATGCAAACCCATAACTGAATAAACCATTATCAGGTTAACCGTGGCTAAGAGTATTTTGTAAATACTCTTTTACTCTGTTTAGAGTAGAGGTTTGTTATTGTTTCCTATAATGCCCTTAAATCATTTTCAGAACAAAATAGTTTTGGTCAGAAATATTAGGCAACACAACATTAATCAATCTTTGGTCATCATCACCCAAGCCAATTATTTTGAGTTATATAGTTGATCCATGAAGATTTACTTGCACTGAGTAATCCAACACACAGGGGACATTTAAAATGCTGCCCATTTCAATCCCTTATCATAATAACAATATGTATTAACCCCATTCCTTCTTCTATGGTCACGAATAGCCAGGATCTCCAGTCAGCATCGAATTCAATGCTGAAAAAGCCCATTGCACAGCTACACCTCAGCCTAAATGTTGGGTTACTGGAAACATTCATGGACAGGTTAAATTTTCGGTTCCACCAACCTTCAAGGCTATTTCAGGCCTGATATTTTGTTTAGAAGCAACGCATGGTCACATAGTACTAATTTTAGGCGGTCCGGAAGCGGCTGAGGATGTAGGCAGTAAACCGCTCCCAGGCACTGACGGGGAGAGAGGGGGGGGCAGCACCGTAAGTCAAGAGCCTAGTCCGCCCTTCGCGGAGAGGTCCCTTTGCCCCGCTTGTGCCCACCCCAGAAGCGGCACCACACGCCCTTCTCACGTTCTCTGTCCCGGAGGAATAAGCCTCACGGATCCCGAGCGAGCCTCCCTCAGCAACCTCGTAAAACAGCAGCAGCAGGAGCCATCCGTGCACCCAGCAGCGTCGCTCCGTAAAACAAGCTCGGCGGCGGAGGCTGCTTTCCATGTTTTCCGGAGACGGAGACGGAGACGCCCGGGGTCAGGATGATCGCCGCTTGTTTGTGCCCACGGCTCGGCTCCCCCCCCCGCCCCCCGGGCGAAGAAAGAGGTGGGGGGGAAGGGAGCGAGGAAGGAAAGAAGGAGCGGCTGCAACACAGCAGCTCCATTTCAAGCGGAGGCGCGGGAGCCGGAGGTCACGTGACGCGATTCCTGGAAAGTTCTTGGAAAGCGGCCTTTGCCTTTTTAATCGTTCCGCCAGGAACAACGCAAAGCAAAATAACCGCCGTGAGGGGGGGAAAAACACGGCCGGACATTCCGGCGAGGCACCCCGAAGCTTCCTCGAGATCGTTTGCAATGTGTCCGCCCGGGGGGGGGGGCGGTTTAAGGGAGGGGGGGCGCTCCACATACTATCAGCACGAGAAACCTGCTTCTCTCTTCCCCCCCTCCCACCTCCGCACCGAGCAGTAGCTGCCTCAGCCTATCTTGAAACGGCGCGGGAGGAAAGACGGGGGCAACGCTCGCCTCGCCATTATTAATCCCAGTCATGACATGCAACCGCGTCACCCCACTTTCGGAGTTGTTTCGGGATCGGCGCGCACCAGGCAGCGAATCTCGCCCGCCGGCCGCGGCTCCTCGCTCCTGTTTACTTGGCGTCCACGCGTCACATGAATATTTCCTGCCCGGGGTTGTAGGAGAAACTCTTGCAGGGGATAACCTGAGCTGGCCGGCCCGGCGGCCACTCGCCCGGCCTCTCTCGCAGCTGATGCCGCGGGGCTCTTTCTCTTTTTCCCTCTCCTTTTGAAACAAAAGCCCTGGCGAGCCTCCCAACGGCCTCTCCGTTTAAAAAGCGCCGCGCTACAGAGACCAAGCATCCCGCCCTTCTGGATTTTGCCGCGTTTGCTTGGCGAGGCCGGAGGTAAAGAGTTTGGCCGCGCGCACACGACTCTTCGCCCCACCGATTATTTCCTAGACAGCAGCCAGACTCTGTGCAAAGGGGAGGAGGAGAAAGGCGTGCGCCTTGAAAGCAGCCGGTCAGCCATCCTCGAAATCCCCGGCCAGGTGGCAGCTGGGTGAGCCGCTTTCCCGGCGGGTGCCGCTGCCCCTCGTGTGCAATGGGGAAGTCAGGACAATAGGAAGGAGGCAGAGAAAAGCGGACGCCCCTCGCCCATCCCAGCAGCGAACGGATCGCCTCTCCGAGGGATGCTCCTCCGTAAGTGAAGATTCGGAGCGGCGGATTTCGACGGAAGCTCTCGCCCGGCCCTGGTTCTCCTCAGAGCTGCAGGTCCCTGAGGGCGGCGGTCAGATGGGCTGGGGCAGCCGCCGGGAGCTCTGGTAAGGGCCCGCCGCTCCTTGCTTTCCCCCTCACGCCCGTGGTCTCCGCCCCAAATGACCCTGCGCTCGGCCGAATCCTCGGATGGCACCGACAGGGCTGGGCCCCAATGGGAAGCTGGAGGAGCTTCGGCGGAACCTGCTGAAGGGGAGCGCCTGGACTCTGCCATGAGGGAGCTGAGATGCGCGGGTAAGGCAAGCGTGCGGGACGGGGACAGTGGGCACCCGGGGTTAGATTGAGCCGTGGTGGTGGTGGTGGGGATAGCTTGTCCCGTCCCTGCATGCAGGGTTCGTAGGAACTGGGGTGATTCTCTTGTGAAGCATCCCCAGCGCTGATGTGAGGTGAAAAAAAGACTCCCGCCATTAAGCCCTTGAGAAGTGGAGCCTCAAAAACCGGCTCCCCGCAGAATCTGTAAGGACGAGGCTGCAGACACCACTCGAAAGGATCGCCCTACGAGGGTGGAAAGATGACGGGTTGAGCCCAAATTATTCCGCAAACGTAATGTGTTTACCTCCCTGGAAACCTCTACAGGGTTAAGTTAGGTACTTTTCTACAGGTTGTTCCATAATGCAACTTTTAAGTCCGTCGTTCCTTTTTTTGCGTTTGGAAACTGCGGTGGGTTTTCAACTTTTCTTTAACGGTCATTCCGAGTTAAAGTAACTCTCAGGAAGCAGGCAGAGAATCCTCTATGATTGGATACAATAACAGTTTAAGGTTTTGGGAATAAGAAGAAAGGAACAAGTCCTGCTGTTTCTCAGACCTGAATGTTGGAGCATTGTTCTGCAACTTCAATTCATCTTGGATTTCCACATTTTAGATTAGCCAACACAATTAGGTGTTCATTATCGGAGACATTGTATAATCCCGAACTTGTTCTCCCACTAGTAGTAAGACCTCAGAATTAAGAGACTAGTAAAATGCTGGGCAGAACTAGGAATAAATCTAGAGTTACACAAGACTTCTAGGAAAACATCTCTGTGTTAATAAAAACAGTTCAATTTGTTTAGAATAGTGAGCAGAAATTTTTTATTCTTTGTAAAATCTTTTCACTTTATTCACCCTAGACTTTTAATTTTAATTTTAATATTACACTTTTTAAAAGAGATGTCACTATTTCACTACAGTTTTCCTATTTGGTCTTGTATTTAGTTCTGAGAATAAATTGGATACACTGCAAAGGTTATTACTTTTAACTATTACTACTGTATTATAGATAGCAAAAAATGATTCCAATCCTGCCAGAAGATCCTAGGAATTGTATTTTAATGCATGTGAGGACAGCCATCTTGGACAGGCTACTTCAGTTATTACATGAAATGTTTTTTCTCTCTTATTTTTTAGGGTTAAGAGAAAGTGTTGATTTTAGATTCTTTGGGATCTAAAATTTGTCTTGTTCTAATATTTAACATATCTGCACTGTATTTGATGACTGAAGTGTTATGGGGTTGGGGTTTGTTTGTTTTTTCGATTGTTTGTTTAGCAGAACTGTTAATAAAAATAAGTCTACTGAAAAATGGGCAGTCTTAAATCCTGTTGATACTGTATTTGTATAACACTTTTGCAATACAACTCTAAGTATATTGGTTCAGAAATCAACCCTATGAAGTGTAATCGTATTTATTGTTAAATATGTCAGATTCTGTTTGCAAGGTATCTTTTCTGGCCTTGTGGGGCTCATATTCATGTTTCACAATGCAGAATAAAAATGAGAAACTGCATTAGCTATTCAAGGACACCTAGGAAATAGTATTAGAATGTTAAGTGATTTGAATCATTGAGGTTTCAGGCATTGATTATGTTGATTTTTATCAAAATTCTCCAGTGCAGATAGTTATTGACACGACTGTCCTTTGCTTCCAGTAGTATTCTGTCTAAAATATGCTGAAGATTCTTAACAAATTTTGCTTTCTCTTCTATTAGGATGGTATTGGGGAAACATGAGTGTGGCAGAAGCAAAGGAAAGATTACAAGATACATCTGAAGGGACTTTCTTGATCAGAGATAGCTCTCACTCAGAGTATTTACTTACTATTTCAGTTAAAACCTCAGTAGGTCCTACCAACTTACGAATAGAATTTCAAGGTGGTAAATTCCGTCTGGATTCTGTTATCTGCATCCGATCAAAGCTCCAGCAATTTGACAGTGTGGTTCATCTAATTGAATATTATGTCCTTATGTGCAAGGACAGAAGAATGGTCTCCGAAATACCTTCCAATGGAACAGTCCATCTTCATTTAAATAAACCTCTCTATCATTCAACACTGTCTCTACAGCATCAGTGTAGAATTGCAATAAACAGACATACAAGTAAAATCCAGGAACTTCCATTACCAACAAGATTGAAGGAATTCTTAAAGGAATATCGATATCGGGTATAAGAATCTACTCAGACTCATTTTAAGAAAACAGGTCCTAAATACAATTTGTGAGAAATCAAAATCTTCAGCTGCATGAACGTATTGTATAGGTCATTGTGAAAATGGTATGTTATTGTGTGTGTTTGTAGATTTGAGTAGAGGACTTGGATTTAGCTTTCCACTATTAAAACTTTGGTGCTCAGTAAAGTCCCTGATGCTATTAGAATTACAAGCTAAGGGAAAATGTGTTTCAGTGGGAACAAGTGCCTACAAGACAATGGTTCATTGCTCTTTAATACCTATGCACTCACTTTGTTCTAAAAATAAATGAGGCAGTTCGGTAAGGTTCTCTTACAGAAAGTCATCTTATAAAATATTACTAAATCCCAATCCAAATGATGTGGCTGTCCTTCAAAATAACTTCTGAACAATGTGGACCAGTCAGTGATACCATGGATACCTTAAAATAATCTATGGTCCTCATTCTGAGAGCGTATTACATTCATCAGTATTTTGAAATATTAAGAAAGATTTGCCAATTCCTAGTGACCATTTACAGTTGAATGCTCCCCTCATATCAGAAGGGCTAAGAGGAGGGTAGGCATCTGGATTTCAGCAGCAAATGACTAATAACTCTGCAATTAGGTCACTGTAAACCTTTTATGAAGTTACAAAGGGAACATACATTTTGGGCAATAAATTTCCAGCTAGCATAAAAGATTGGCTGGAGAGACTCACTGTCTGAGATTATATCAGTCTAAGGCTCCTGATTATGTATTTTGCACATTCTTAATTATAATTTACATATTAATAAATAGTAAGCATTTATTTCCTAATAATATAGCACTCGAGTGTTTTCTTATTAAAAACCTATCTAGCAGTTCTTCCTGATTATGAATGCATGAAACTTTTTTTTAGGAGGGGGGAGGTGCCTTCAAGTCCATGTGACTCTTTGCAACTATCTAGTCAAGTCTTGCAGTTTCCTTGGCAAAGTTTTTGGAAAATGGCTTGCAATTGCTTTCTTTCTAAGGCTGAGAGAAAGAGAGAGAAAGACTGACCGAAGATCACCAGTTGGCTTGGAACTAGAACTTATGATTTTCTGATTTCGAGCCTGATGCCTTAACTACTACATCATACTGGTGTTCTTACAAAAGCTATAGAGCAATTTTATCCATTTTACTCAGATTGTAAGCTTAGCATTATAGCAAAGTTTTATTTGAACAGTCAAAATGGGATTAAATTTCTAGGTAAGATATAAGGCAGTCAATCACACATGAACTCTAGTCACTCTGGGGAGCTACAACAATCTCCTTCATACACTTAGCTTCCAAAGCTTCACAAGCTCCACCCAAGCTTTCAGTATAGTCTCCACAAAGCCTCCCTAAATGGTAACTTTAATCTAAAAGAAAGGGAAGTATGATATACATGGGAGTAACCATGTCAGGCCAGAAACAACGGGTGGGGGATGAGACAGGTGGAATCAATCATTCCTAATTTAAGGCAAGGTAAATTAAAATCTTATTCCAAAGTATGGCTGAAAAAACAAAGGTCATATTATTCCTCTTATAGGGACTCGGTGAATACATTACATTGAGGTAATGTACCACTATTTGTGTTAGCACAGACTCTTTTTCTAGATCCATAACATCAGTAACACATCTCCCTCGAATGAAGCTTTATAAATATCTAGACCAGTGGTAGTCAACCTGGTCCCTACCGCCCACTAATGGGCGTTCCAGCTTTCATGGTGGGCAGTAGGGGTTTGCTGTAACTCTGCTTTATAAATTTTAAAAAGCAAAGTTACTTCCCTACTTTATAAATCACCATTACTGTGCAACTGGTGGGCAGTTACAAAATTTTACTACTAACAGAGATACAAAAGTGAGGGGTAGGTATAAAAAGGTTGACTACCCCTGATTTAGACT